TTTATTTCCCAGAAAAAAACTACATGTCACCAATAACTACAAGGACATATTCATGCTCGGCGTAGATAAGTTGTATTTTTTGTTTAATGAGTATTTTAGAGGTACATATCCTGCGACTTCATCTGATTGCTGCCTAAAAACTACCCCGGTAGAAGTATTGGTCCATCCCTAATATTCAATATACTTACAGTGTAGTGAGGGACGTGGTGCCATTGAACGCGTATGGTTCGATTTCAATCAACTGGTTACCAGTCAAATGCCTGTATAAAAAACAATGGAAATTACAGGTTACCAGGTTTTTCCCACTTTCATTATTCTCATGGCACGTGTTGAGATGAATACTTACTAGTAATATACGTGGTTAGACGCTTATCCACTTGTTTCAATGTAACACACCGTAACTTAAATATAATCACTACAATGTTATTTGATTTGATTTAAATTTGCGAGTTTGAGACACCAGTTGCAAGTTAGCTCACAGCATTGCTTATCAAAATACAAGACTTAGTTTGCTTTCAATTGTATGTCACATGTTAGTATAATTTTAGTTTGTAATCAAAATTGAACAACAACACAAACTTTCAGCGATGTTGCAAGCTCACATTCAACGTGGTAAATTACACTTTCACGTCGTCGCACTGAATGACGGGTTTCATGATCGGTTCCATACTCAGATCCACAAAAATTCACTCATTTTAAGATCGTTATCAATGATCGAAAAACAAATGTTTTGATATAATTTTACCATTCATACTTACAATGATATTAAACTGAACAATCCTTGAAAGGTGTCTCTGTGCAATATCGTTAACTGATTGTCCCGCAAATCACTACATTAAAAGTAAAATATAATAATATAAGATATTATTAGTGAACGCGATATTCGTCAGGTTGCACTTCATATGGTGTTGTGGCGTATGGTTCGTTTCGTGCTCGGGTTCTTTTTCGTATTCGTGCAATGAAATACCAAAAGTTTAAGTCGCATGCTCATACGCACCTGATTTACCTACAGGCACATGTAATTTGCACTCATATTATCACTTTCATTGAAATTGTGTAATCAAACTTTTCTACCAAATTCAACTCAACGTATATATATATATATTAATGGCAATGGTTAACTAATTGACGGGTGAAGTAACACGACAGATGCGTGTGTGTAACCCTCTGTCTATTGGAATATATTGTGACCCTTGAATGATAGAGGGCGTAGCGATCACGGACATATCAGGCTACGTTAGAAAGTTGCTCCGTCAGTTTAATAATATTTCTAGTTATATATTATAAACAAGTTTAGGGAGTTTGCAGGAATATACTCACAGTGTCTTCAATCGCCACAAAACAGAAAACGTACGGCTTGGGATATCTGTTATGTTATTGTCCTGTAGTTCACTGTTAAATCACAAGAAACAATAAGACAATATTAAAAAAACATTCACTCAAAGCACGCAATATGGCAAAATCGACAGTTAATTTAAAGCTCTAAACGTGTGCCACATTCCCCCTTTGGTGGCGCTATTCAACTTGCTAAGTCGTAATGAAACCTCAAAATCGATCGTATCACAACGTATATACTTACAGCGATAAAAATCTCTCGAATCCCGCAAAGGTGTAATTACTGAGGTCAGAGATCGAACCGAAATTGTTATGGCCCAATTTACTGCAAATAAAAAATCAACAAATATAGTTATGAATATTATAAACATGACCAGAGTGCAATTGTAGGCTGCGTTTACATAATTGGTTTCAAAGGAAAACACATAGTTATAATTGATCTGTTTTATTATTTCCATGGCAACACCACATACTTTGGATAAGAAATGAACATTGGCACTTTTATGCTGTCATGGTACTACTTATAGAAGCAATATGAATGCTTTATGTTTATAAATACATTGTATTGTCATGGTGATGTATCATGAACTAAAAAAAACGCTATTTTTGCAGCACATCAGTTACAGAGTATTCGTTCGACGGAATAATGAAATTCAATACGCATGCGCACTGGTTATTTTGGTGCGTACAATAACGCTCCATGTACATGCGTAGTAGTTTATTCCATTTTCTAAAAGAACGAATACTATACAATCTTCTGCAAAAGCCTGGCGATTTGATTGTTCCGATAGAGCGATTTAAAATTGGTTAGAGCAATACCATATTGAAGGGACTATAATTTATACAAATATGGGGTCTCAGAAATTGTGTTTACAAATAAGTGCATGTACATGTTATGTGACCTCACGTGTATTTCTACTTACAGTTGCACATATCCAGGTTCTATAACAAAACGCAGATCATTCAATTTTTTATTTTCACAGTCCATTTCGTTGTAATGACACACACAAATTTGGTTGGTGCATATATGATCTGTAAATGATCAGAACAAAAGTGTGGACGGACGTATTAAATAACGTCGAGCAAGGCACCAAATAAGTGTAAGCAAGAAGTGTTCATTGGATGAAAAATAGATCTTAGACGATAATGACCGCTGACATCTCGTTAAACGCGAGAAAGCCACGAGACTTGTTTTTTTTTACCCTCAAAGAGTTCCATTCTCTTCTGGCATTGCGTCCACTGTTCCACTGATCTATGTACAGGGTATTTAGAACAGTGAACGATATGACATGGGAGAATGAAACAATACTCGAGGGGCAAATACAAGTCCCGTGGCGCTCTCGCTCACAGCGAGAACTCGGCGCCCATTTGCGTCTAATGTGACATATTGACAAATGTTTTGTTTCTCATCAAAATAGAAAGTAAGTAGTAGGTAATAATAGTCCTGGTTACTACTAAGGGCCATTGTCTGAAAAGTTTAATTATAATTTATATTTTTTTTTCACAAAAACTAACTCACAGCAGTCTTCTTCATCGTTCCATACTCTCCCACAGTCGACCTCACCATCACACACCATGTGCTGTGTTATGCAATATCCATTGCCACGACATTTAAACGCCCCGTCACCACACTGTTTGTCTCCTAAGAAATAACAAAATTCATAAAGATAAATCATATGTGCTACTTGGCACAACAAAAGCATTTCCTTCATCTTTATAAATAATCATAAATTTCAATAGCAGATGAAGCAAACCAGCCAATCAACGACTTGAAGTACAGCGTGCAGTGACGTCATTTGAAAACTCTCCAATGATATTCAATTGAACAACAAACATCATTCGGGTCAATTTGGGTAGTAAAATTGATGAATATTTATAAAATAACGGGAATCCTCTTGTTGTGCCAAGAGTATATTTATCGATTAAACTGATTTACTATGCGCTATGGACTCAGGGAAGATTACTCTGTTCTTTGTATTCTATAAGCTTTACTGTGTTTTATATGTTCTTAGCGATTTACTGTGTTGACGTATTTGTCCTATGAGTTTTAATGTGTTTTCAATATTGTGTGTGATTTATTGTCTTCCATATCTTCTGGGAGGTTTAGTCTGTTCTCTTTCTTCCGTGAGGTTTACTTCTTTATATTCAGGTAAGTTTAGTGTATTTTTTTCTTTTCTGGGTATATATCCTGTTTTCTCTATATTTTTGTGGATTTACTGGGAGGCCCACTGTCTTCTCTATATTGTGAATTGTTGCTTAGGGGTTCAGAGACTAGACCCAGGTTTAGACGCCGACATTGCAGTTTGTCATACCAGATATTGTTAGTCAGTCAGGTAACTAGCCAGACGAAACAAGCAAGTGCGCACCACTCGAAGAGACAGTTCATCAGCGCTGTGTTCATCGTAGAGTTTCTCCACCAATACTTGCATGCCGTAATCGAGACAAAGAGACAAGTTTATACTCACTACAATTAATAAGGTGTGATCCATCCTTGCATCCATGAATACTATCAAACTCATCTTTGTAGCAGCGTCTGTCCAAGGAAATACACTGACCATTAAGACAAGCGAACTCCTCGTCTGTGCAGTTTCGCTGCATGTGCTCTGCAAGATACAAAGTACTTGAATAATAGCGCTTGTCATTGGTGTGGGTAACTTGGTTATTCTATGTTTCAAATATATAACAAGTAAAGGACGAAAATAATTCATTTCAGAAAAGTGCGCTGTTTGGTGGACTTTGTGGCCAAGCGATAGATAGGCATTGGTAAGCACAATCGAAATAAATTTAACCGGGAACAACAATTTTCATTTCAACCAGTTCATTATGAAAAAATATCGCTTAGAAGAATTACATTTCTGCTAATCATTGTCGTTTGAGCGGGTTGATACTCGTGGTGGTTCGTGAAACACTATAAAATACTTTATTTTATCTGGAATTAATTTTCACTGAAAAGAATTTCCGGGTGTTTGATGCAAGATTCAGTTAGTAAAGTCTTACCACAGTGTTTTTCATCTGAGTCGTCCTCACAGTCAGCAAAGTAATCACATACTTGATATTTTTCTAAACACTGACCAGTACCGCATTGAAACTTGTCATCTGGGCATATATTTTGCTCTGAAAAACGAATAAAACCATCACTAACAGTAACTAACATATTCAAAGCAAAGTTAAAACACCATTTCTTTGATATTCGATTTGTAATATTTTTTTTTTATTTCGTTATCTGAAGATTTATTTGGTTAAACTATGACATTATGTGCAAGGGGCTAA